GATATGGAAAAATATAAGCGCGGTGAGGTGATAGTGGGCGTTAATTTGGTTGGCACACTGGCAGAACCAGTACTCGCTTCCGGAAGCAGAGTTGCCTTGCCGCATAGCAAGGCGTGTACGTTGCCATGTATGTTGTCCCTTTTTGACACGTTTTACCGTATACTTTAATTTTTTTCAGAAGACGCAGATGTGATCACTGGAACAATAAATTTATTTGCCTGACGTTTCGGATCCTCACTCGCATCCATCATCAGAGACAGCTGCAGATAAGGGTAAGGGTGGCACAAGGAGTGCAGTATTTATGGCACGTGGCTGCCGTGGGACCATATGCGCACTGTAATTAACCGCTCTCGCAATCACCGCTGAGGTCTTAATTGATGCGAAGGTGGCTTGTCAGTCCGAGTCCGAGTCGTTAATGGCCGTGATTTCGTCATCCGTGCTGGATGCTGGTGTGACGATTGCTCGGCAAATGGTCTCACCGTTACTGGGATAACTACTCGCCCGCGCCCTCCCCAAGTGACTGATTCCCCTGCCCAGGGAAAAGCTCAGCACGGAATACGGTAACGGGAGGTAATTATGCTTGTTGATGGATTGCGGGCCTGAGAACCATGACTTGAGCAGCTCGCTGCTCATGCGGTTGTCACTCCGTGCGAGGATTTCGGTCTCCTGAAACTTGAAAATATGGCCGGGTCCCGTCGAATGAGCCGCCACCTGGGAGCTAGCGCCTCCCCGCCTCACTGCTGCGTGCATGTTCAGCAATGCGCGTACGGAGTAACCTCCCAGTTTCTCCGACCCCAGCGGTGATTGCGAGAGCTGTTAATTACAGTGCGCATATGGTCCCACGGCAGCCACGTGCTATAGATACTGCACTCCTTGTGCCGCCATAACCTTTATCTGCGACCGTCTCGGATGATGGGTTCGAGTGAGAATCCGAAACGTCAGGCCAATAAATTTCTTGTTCCAGTGATCACATCTTCGTCTTCTGAACAGTCGCCTGGAACTCGTCTGTTCCCCTTTAAATTTTTTTTGTTTGCCTCGGAAAATTATGTCATTCTGTTTTTGTTTAACCCTCGTACTATTTGTTTGAATCTCTCGTCTTCTTCCCGCGTAACTTGACACTGCCCCTCTGACTATACGCCACATCTTTCTGACTGTACGCCTGTAGACATTTGGTTGTAAGTGTAGCATTTATATTTTCCTAATAATGCTAATTGTTGAACCGTGTTTCCGTACAATTCTGCGTTTATTTACACCGTTTCCACGTACGGGCGGCAGGAAGTAAGCCGACTCAGGCGAATGAATCTAGACGGGCTAGAAAGCAGCTGGGTTCAACAGACTCTGTGTGAGTTACGCGAACGGACCAACAGTTGGCGGTCAAATGTACTGCACAAGGCGCACTGACCTCAATTAAAAGAAGACAGTCTCCACTCGTTGCACCACTACAAGAATGTCTCGGGCACATCCAAGAAAGACGGTTTATGTGGTTTGAACACGTCCTTCGTCGTCCATTCCATAAAATTTGATGCATTTGCAGGTTACGATGACCATGTCAGCTCAGACCTGGGTGGACAAGGTTTGTCAATACATCGAGAAGGCTCCTAGACCAGTTGTTATGTCGCTAGATAAGAGTCGGTCAGGTTCACCAGATCTGATGTCACAGATCGGCACACGTAAAGTGGCATTATCCACGGCAGCAGTGTAGGCAAATAGATGACACATTATCACGGGCGTGCTAAGGATGGTCAATTCGGTAAAGATTAGGGGTGGAATGGCTGCCTCACCTCAACAGTCTGGCCGTCGGGGTTGACACTAGAGTGCCACCGGGAGCAGCCTGCCAGACAGGGATTAAAGAAGGTCATCTGGCTGGGAGCTGACAGCGCTGGTGGACCGGCGGTCGGCGTGGACTGTTGACGCTGCCAACACACCGGATTGTAGTCCACGGAGAGGGGACAGGAGAACAGTCCCTGGACGGGCTGGGAGCCTGTGCCCGAAGTTGCACACACCAGATTGCAGGCAGCTGATAGATTGGCCGGAGGGGCACTACCAAACAGGCTCGTAGACTGCCATCTAGAGGGGCGGGGGAAGGAAGGAGTAAGAAGCAATTTGAAGTTGAATACGTCCACATGCGTGAACGCCTGGGTAAGTACCGCATACTGAACGACAGCAAAAGGGTCTTGACGACTAAAACACCACACCAAAGACGCAAAAAGGATATTAGCTAGACTCTTGAATCCAATTAGAACTATCACTACATCGCGGGAGCGGTAATGTTACATAAGACCCCTATGTGTTGATAGTTAGACTATGTCAGGACTTCGGGTGATGAGAGGGCTCAGAGGTTACGTGACAAAAAGCCTCGTCTGTGTGCCAATTCCCGGCTAGCGCCCCCCTACTGCTCAGATAAGGTTACTCGCACAACTTCGCTGGATTTACGGACATGCCGCGACCGACACAGTTCAGGGGAGCTGCCAACTAGAGCGGGCGGCCAGATTAGACCAGGGGAAATACAGCAAAGCATAAGGCCGCAGGGTGGCGACGAGGGCATTCCGTATCCAATGTGATGTATTACCAAACCACTTACATGGCCGTTCTCTAATAACCGGAAAGACATCTTTCCAGGCTGTCGCTATGAGAGTCAGAGGCCCCCAGGTCAATACGGAGGCGGTGTAAGGAAACGATAGGTTTCCAGCTGGCCAGGATCTACCAGACAGAATCCGTTTCTGCCCGTTCCAGTTTCCTAACTAATAAAAAGCCCACCACATACAGTAGCTTGGCGGACGTTGGTTTTTGTAAGGTGATTCCATACTAACAGCACAGGTGCTAGACAAAAGCCCATACACGCGTGTTTCGCCGATATTCTACCGTTTCGTGACACAGCTGCGAGGGGTCCGACTCGTCAGTGGGTCCCCCAGCATTCCCTGTCTGCTTTCTGGTAGATACACCAATTTAGAAATTGATTTTTGTGGCAATGCAAATATCACCATTGGCTCTTCCAAAAGTTGACAACGGCAGAATCAAAAGGAGAACAAGTCATGCATGTGGATTTTATGACACTTTAACTCAATTGGGATGCGATCCACCCCGCGCTTTGCCTTGTCGTGTCAAATCTTGGTCAGTTGTAAGTGGCAGACCAGAGCGTGTGGTGGCACGCCCAGGGGCGCCTCCGGCCGTGCCAGCCACCTGCGCCTTCTGCCGCCCCCGGTCATGGCACCGAGCCCAAGTGGGCGAGGAGGAGGAGGGAGTGCGGTAGATACAGCGCAAGTCTACTGTCATTATGAACTAATCCATGAGCAATTCATCGTGCCTGCTCCCACCCTGCTGGGGAGCATACGGTGAACATCTTCGGTCCCGACGGTCGAACTGTCGAGATAGTGGAACAGTCTCCGTTGTATGGTTGTCCCCGAATAAGCAGGCCCCGTGGTTTGACAAATAAGCAATGATAAACCATGCAAAGGGCCACACCACCACGCGAGGCAAATCAGGGACAGATAAAATGGTCACATTCCAAGGCGATGTTGCGACACTGTGAGTACTGGCCGTCATCCACGACCGCTGTCTTACTGATCGGGAACTTCGCCTGTATCGTATTCCTGCGAATTACCACACACATCTGCTGGCTACCCTAAGGGTAAACCCAATTTCTGCGGTCAGACCGCAGGATCTGTGATATACATGCTAGTTCATCTGTTGTAATTGAAGATATTCTTGTTTATCGGATCACTTTTTGTAGGTTTGGACGAAATGTGTGGAAGGATTTGGTGAGCGGGGTTAAGGCGGACTCGGCGTCCGTCGAATCTTTCTTAATGATGTGCGTGTTGAAATAGAGACACGTTGAAGTAACTAGGGTGTTGTTGCTTCTGAAAAGGAAGAATGACCGCGGGTAGGTAGTCGAGTAGGCGAGCCGGGTGTGCGAGTAGGGTTCCTTAAAAGGACGAGGCGATGGAAGTGGCCGTTAGAGGCGCCGTGTGCACGAATTCAGATTTTTCGCTTGCTCTGTCCACTGCGATCCACGCTGAATCCACAGACGTCGCAGGAATAGGCATCGGTGGCGTATGTTCATTGTTGGGTCGAGCCCGGGCAGCTTCCGCATTTGGTTTTTTTTAGCCACAAGACTGGTGAAGTAGGTGGAGTTGGATATGCAACGGTAGGCACAGAGGGAGCCAGCATCCGCGATCCGCGTCCGAATTGCGTTCGCAATGAGCGCAGTTGTGGAGAAGTCGGTCAGGAATTGCGATGTTCCCCGCGTAGTGCCGAATGTTGGTGTTAAGGGTGATGCTGCAGTGAATGCGAGGTTGTCTCGTGCGGCCCAAGTGAACTGCAAAGTGGCGCTGGCAACTAGAACACGTGTGAGAGAACTGGTTCTCAATATTTCAGTCTTGCGTTCTCGTTCCCTTTTTATTTTAGCTCCCTGTATTCGCCTGACGTCTGAGAATCCAGGAGTCCTCCATCATCTGTCTGTTGTCGTTTCCTTGGCAACTAGTTGTAATCCTTCTGTGGGGCTGGAAGAGGACTACTAATACTCTAATGGGAGGGGGGGGAATGGTGGCTAAGGCAGCATCTACGTTGCTAAGGTTGTCATTTGGCCAAAACAGTTCTCCAAGACGATTGGACGAGGGAATAAGTACCCCTACCCGCATTATGGGTGGCCTTGAACTGAATCCCAGGGGCGGGGAAGTACCTTTCCCCGTATCCTAACCCCAACTCTAACCCTAGTCCCCCTGGAATTTACCGCAGGACCACCTGTAATCTTGGGGAGGGGGCGTACTTATTACTGTGAAATACCTTAAAAGCTCATAGGTTCTTTCCTCATACCACATTACCTCATGGTACAGAAGTTCGTGATGCGAGCCATCCTGAAGATACCTTCATACGCATTATTTTAAAGCATTAAAAAGCGGCCTATGTCTCAAAGTCGCGAATAAGATGCACCACAAAAGTCCGATCGGCGGCCTTGGCACTTAAAGTGTGCACACAGTATTCAGGAATATACTGCTTTACAAACCGATGTAATTTTGCTCCAAGCAGAAACTTCGTACAAGGCAAAAGGTTCTACATGCAACTCCCACCGCTAACTAAAGCGCAGGGTGGAGGGAGAAAGGTTCTGCGGATCAGTAAATTTAGAGAAACCGCAGGTGTGTAACCTTACAGTCGACAGTAAGAAACAACTGAGCAGTTAGTGGTTCTTCAATTAACTCAATTCGCGCTGCAAAATGACAGGCAAGGGTGGAAAACAGATCGTGAAATTTACACGTCACCGAATTTCAGACATCTCAAAATACAACATGTGGTTATTTCTGACAAACTAAGATCATTCCAGCAACTACAACGAAAAACGGTCTCCGAACATCGAGTTTGCGGTTTAGCACCAAGATGTACGGAAATGTACCAGTTCGACAAATTCAACCTCCCACATACTTCACAAGGGGATCATAATTAAGCACCACCATTTATGTCCTGGCTAAATTAAGGATTTAGAGGTACAGTAGGTGTGCTAACTTATGAAATGTTAACCGAATTCTGTATTGCGTTTTCGACTTCAAGAGGCTACTTAAGTAAAGGTTGTAATATTAATTACTGTGCAGCATAATCTCCAGATATTTCTGTTATTCCAGGGTGCCGGCTTTTGAACAAACTTCTCTGTCGGCCGTCTGCAAAAACTATGCTCTGTGAAAAAAGGCTACTTGAGTGCTATTTATTTTTCTGACCGATTTTCAGCGTTTTTATAAATTCAACCATACTTCACAGAAAACATGCACAAAAGTATTCATTCTTTTACTCATTTTGGTATAATTCGGTTTTAAGAAAGTTTCTAATTACGAGATTTTTTAAGACCGTGAAATGTCCGTTCATAAAACATCGTATCTCTGCATTTACTATGGTTGCTTGTATAGTTTACAGTATGGCTCAGATCCACTGCTAACTTTTATGAACCTCATATGGTCTATTCTTAATAGCGTATGAAAATGTGTAACTTTCCGTGAGCGGAAAATATACAGCTTGTAGTTTGGAAACCCTGAGCTCAAGTGCAACGGTAGGTCGGGTTCAAAAGTATTCAAGAATTTGAGAAGTTTTTCAAAACCGAATTGTACTCTTCCCTTAAGCATAGAATTTAAAGAAGGCGTTATTTCGCACCAAATGAGTAAAAGAATGAATATTTTATGCATGTTTTCTACGAAATATATTTGGATTTGTAAGGGCGTCGGAAATCGGTGAAAAAAATTAATACCACTTGAGCAGTCATTTTTTTCGAAATGTGGTTTTTGCAGGGGGCCGAAAAGAAGTTCGTTCAAAGGCTGGCATCCTAAAGTAACCAAATCCTCGTAGGATTATGTTGCATGGTAATTGATATTATGACCCTACTTAAGTTAGATTTTCAAATCGAAAAGATATTTCAGAATTTCGGTTAAGATTTCATGAGTTAGCGCATCCACTGTAGTTCCAGAAATTAACCAACACAAAACGCCCGTCTGCACGAAATCGTCACTCGACTCTGACCCTACTCGGCACTCAGTTTGAGTGCGCGAGGCCCTAATATGGCGCGTTCAACATGCAACGGCCACAGTCCAACAAAGGCGTCAGCCGACGGAGAGTCGGGAGCGATTACGCCAGTCGTACTGTGGTGAGTACAGACGATTGGTCGGTCATTGCGTCCAAAATCAGTTTCACTCGGTCAAAATTAACATGATTGCGTTTGGAGAGTGGGTGGGTGACCGCCACGCCCAAGGGTTAGCGGTGGTCGCCGCTCTGTTTCGACGACCGAACCCACCCCGCACTGGCCTCGGAAACCTTTTTCACGAATTTTAAAACGAATTCATTGAGAAGCCAAAAGCGGCACGCGGCAACGGATCCCGGCCGCTGTCTTGACTACAACACATCCCGAAAAAAAAGACCCAAATCAGGCTGATTTCGCAGCGACAGGCCATCGACGAAGTTAACACTTCCAATCCCACTTTAAAATTCACAGCACTTTGAAGGCCAGATCGAAATGAAAAAGGTATGCACGACTAGCGGTGAAGAGCGGGTAGCGGTCAGCTTTATTCAAACATCAAAACCGTCTAAACTTCCGTTCTGGGGAGGAGGGGAGGCGCAGCGGCGGCCGCGGCGGTGAGTTCAAAAAAGTGGGTTTCAGGATCGACGGCATGACGCGGAAGGGGGAAGGGGTAGAATGAGAAGCGTCGAGGCTGGAACAGAAGAGGGACTCACTTCTCTCCTCCGTAGGTTGCAGTGACACCGGCCATCAGATTGGACGGACAGGAGAGCGCGAGCATGAGGACCAGCGAGGTGGTCAGCGTAGCAACCATGGTGGCCAAGACGGCAAGCAGAGCCTTTGGGATGTTTGGTCTGTAGTGGCGCATTAAAA